ATACTCAAAGTTTATTCGTACTGAATTGTATCTGCATATTGTAAATTATTTGAGCCAAAACTTTGCTTGTAATAAACTATAAATATAGTTAATTTAATTTAAAATTGTTTAGTATTTTTTACATAAAGGTTTGCAACTACTAAACAAGTTCATTCTTTTAAGCTAAAATACATTTAGGAATAGCCGAAACTAAATTCTAGAAGTATAGAATTTATTTTACAAAATATTTTGTAGCGCTCTACAAACAGGTATTAAATAATATAAACTTGCTTACACGGTAAGTTGTTTTAGTTGTAGAATAATAATGCTTGTATATTGTTAAGTTTTGAAGCGATGTTATTCGAAAGATGAACGAGGTGCTTGCGGCTTACACGTTTATTGGATACATTGTTCAAGTTAAAACTGTATTATCATGAGTTTTCATTACTGAAACATCTGTAGAAAAAATTCTAGCTTTAATTTATTTTACTGAATAATGAGATGAGGCAATATTTTTTCTGACAATGTATTTCGGTTGCAGAAGTATGAATATATAAAGAAATGAATATTGCTTGTTTTTTTTTATTCGTGAAAGTAGAAATAAACCGTCGTTACTTTAAATCGGATGATCTTTACTGAGAAGTTAATTTAATTATACATTGTTTAAAAAAATCTATTTTATAAATATTAATATCCGCTTTGAGTTAAAGGAAGTGAGGAACAAAGTAATGCAACAGTATGATGCCGTACGGCACTTAATAATGTACGTTTGAAATGTTTAGAAGCTTTTAAAGCTCTCGAGATGGTGCTCAAATATTAAGACAACAGTTTCTTGGACGTTTCACGGAAGTATTTTCTTGTATGCAGACTCCCTTTGTATAAGGGATTTACAAAATAAATAAATTTACATTAACTTTATAAGTTACTTCCTACGATAATGAAAAACATCGTGATGCAACCGGTACATGTCTGCCAAGCAATGCAAAGGTGCAAATTAACTAGACTAGAGTGTTTGGTTATGGTCCTTAACGTAAGCTAGAAGTCTCTCGGAGAGGACGTTATGAGCTGATGAAGATAATGTATGCGTTCATTTTACTGTAGCTTTAATAGTTTTATAGATTTGACAGACCTTGTATCAACACATAAATAGCAATTTAGCAAAACTATTAGCCAGCTAAATAGCTGTTAGACGCCATTAATTCACATTTTTTTTGTTTTGTTATTATAACACTTTAGATAAAAGACCACACGACACAATTTAAGTGGTTGCTTCGCAATGTAGTATATCGATTGCCGCGTGTTCTCCGGTTGCCTCGCGGCGACGGCCCACAGAGCCAGTAATGACACGTCACCAACAGGCGCCGCCGCCGCAGCTCGCCCGCGCCGAGCACCGTGTCAGCGGGAATGCTATATGACAAGCTGTCATGCTTTATTTGTTCCAGTAATTTGGCGCGAAAACTGCACCCAAACAGAAGGGAATTTCTAAATTTGAGTTCCCTTTGCGATAGCTCAATGAACTTTCTCATTAATTGGAAGACAGGTAAGGACAACAAGGTTTAACGACATGAAATTATTAATTTTCTCTTGCTCTTTTTTTCTAAGACTCTGCGAGATAACAATGTGTTTTGTAGATTTATGATGGTGAAAACAGCATTGTAATAAATATAAATAACATTAGAAATCATTATATATTTTACTCATCGATTTCGAAGATACAAGTAAGTGCTTGTTAAAAGTTTGCTACCTGCATCTCTTGCTTTACATCTCTACCTATGGAAAGTTGTGCGAGCGCGAGCAAAGCCGGACGAAGTTACTAGTTCTTCAGCTGCGCTCAGACCTTTGTAATGAGCTAGCCGATAACTTTACCTGCCCGTTCGATTGTGAATACCGGATGACAGGAAGCTGTAAAAAGTTTATATCTTTAGACTTTTACATTGTTAGATTTGACTTCACTTTGAACTTTTATTTACTATATTTAGACCGACATATCTGACCCGGTGGGCATAAGTCAAACTAAATTACGACAGCCCAGTAGCGCTCCCCTGTTAATGTGAAGAGTGTCATATTGTCAATGTCTCGTAGTGTCGATGTGTAAGTTTGTTGTTGAAAGAAATTTCACATAATTTTCCATGCCTATGTAGGTAATCGCGTTACCAGTACCTCTCTTTCCGGCTGAAATAAGCTAGTCTCATTATAATTGGAATCAAGTGGGTTTCTGAAACCTAAATCCCAATTCAAATATAGTGACAGGGGTGTTGTTTATAGATATATCGGTCTCAGAAAGCAACGTTACGTCTGACAACTCAGCTGTCAGAATTAGTTGCAATGAGAAACTAACTTAACTCACACGTAACTAAGTCTAAAATAGCGTAGCACATTTTGGATTATGTATATTTAATAAATATAACTAAATAGAATAATACATATATTTCTCAATCAGCTTACCGAACAATTCTAAGTGACAATGCAGTAGCACTGGGGACGTAAATGACGTACACTCGGCACCGCAATTTGTCAACCGAGGACGCGGCGACTGTTCGAAGATTCCTCGCTCAAGTACTAAGCTCACTGCGCAACTATTGTCGGATCCCATTTGTCGATATTCCTCTTAGATTTTTTCTAATTCTAATGTACAAGGATTTATTTACTGACGTTGAATTTGAAAGATTTTTATTTGACTATTTTGATTTGGTTTAATATATTTTTGAGCAGCGCTTAGTTTTCTATTTTACACTATTGATACTACTATTTTTCTATATTTAAATATTCTTAAATAAAAGAAACATACCTCGTAATAGGAAACCACCCTTTAAATGCATCAGAGCGATTTTATCTCTGCGTTAACGAATGTTGGCGCGACGTAAACTTTTAACAAGCTAATACCACAGGGATTTCTCTAACTTGTTCACCTACAGTTGTGCTCATGTTACGTCACTGCTATTCTGAATTTATTATGAATAATTTCCGTGTTTATTTCAATAAACAATATCTATATACTTTTTGCTATCATTAGAAGAAAAAGAAAATAATATCGTCTTGTTAAATAAATAATTTTGTATAATGTACTTTGTATTCTTTATAATATAGGAATCAAGTTGCCGCTATCAAGCTTTGTATCTAATTCCAATTAAACTTGTTGCGAACAAAAATATTTAATACAACGTCTTGCACCGCCCCCTCCCCCCACCACCCCCCCCCCCCCCCGCCCCACCTGCGTCGCTAGACTTCTCAACTTTTTCTATTTAAGAAGTTAATTGAACTTTTAGAGAGTGCAAGTCTTTTTGTTCGATCGATGGCTTCAAAATTCTGTTTCCTAACACTATTAATTGATAAACTTGATTAGTTCTTGTTAATTAGATTTAGGAGGTTTGGAGCTTTAATTAAAAATTCAAAAAGTCAATTATTGAAAAAAAAAGCTTCCATTTTTTTCTAAGAAATACCTTAAATATATTCACTGTTCTCCCTGTAGGGATGAAATGAAATATCCTTATAACAAAAAGCTTTACCAGTTAGGAGGTTCCCCTGGGAGTGTGCTTATGACGCGTCATTATAACGCTTTGTGCTGTACCGCCGATCAATGACACTTTGTACTATGCCGACACCTAGGCGTCCTCTAATCTATTGAGACGTGTTAAGCTGTGTGGTAGATGAAAATTGATTAAAATGAGCAAAGAAAATGCTTAACGGAAAATATCTTATATTATAAGTTTTGTAATATTCAAAATCGGGATTCGAATCCACAAAGATGATAGGATGTCCATACCTATTTTTTTACCATTAGACTATTGGCGTTAAACTATTAATGTATATTGATTATTGTTTAAATACATCGCCTACTTTTGTCAATAAAACATGTTATGAACTATCAATACAAGATAACAATATCGTTTAATACACGCGAAATATTCGTAGTCAGTGAATTTCGTTGATGCCATTTGCCGTGATATGATAAGATAATGCTGCCTCACTGGCCACTACGCAAACATTCTGATGTACCAAATGACTCATTGGTTAAAGCCTATAATAATTCGGGATTCTAAACTTGACAATAAATAAAAGTATGCGAACTTCAAGTCTATATTCTGTAATTGTTGCTGCTCAAACTAATGTGAAATAAATATTGTTGTCCTCGTCATTCTCTTTGAAAAGAACAGAGATAGCAATAGTTTTTATACAGCGATCCTAAATCTTTGGTACTCTACTACGGTTATATCATTATAATACTGGCACGTATATTTCCATCTTCGTTTGTTTTAAATGAGAGAACATATTATGTTATTAAGTTAACAAGTTAATTTTAAGCTCTATAATTATGCTCTACTACCAGTAGAATGTCAACTTTAAAGTTATAAAACTTTCATGAACGTGGAGTTGGCGTTGTAGAGACACATGCAAGGAATTCGGAATACGTGAGTCTTGTGTTCACGGGACTTGTAAGCCATTTTTAAGACGTAGTTCTTTTAATGTGTTATTTTAACATCTTTATGCACTTGACTTGCGAACTGCAGGTCCTGGGTTCGAATCCCGCCATGTACCAATGTGTTTTTCGATTTCCGATTTACATATGTACATTTATCCGACGTTCTTACGGTGAAGGAAAACATCGTGATGCAACCTGCACATATCTGAGAAGAAATTCAAAAGATATGTGTGAAGTCAACCAACCCGCACTAGGCCAGCGTGGTTGACTATGGCCTAATCACCCTTAACTTAGGGTAGGCTCCGAGCCCCTCGGTGGGGACGTATAGTGAGCTGATGATGATGATGATGCACTATTTAAGTAAATAAAAATCAATATGATTGTTATCTCATTTTACAACATTATTAAGTTGTTGAAATAAAGTAACCCGAGCAAAAATGTGGTCATCACAGTTCTTTGAGAATGCATAATAAATTAAAACATTTATAAATGTGTTTTTATAAATAAACAAAACAACAGAATTACGAATTTAAAGATCATGAAATAACACCTTAATAATAAATTGAAGATTTTTCAAAAGTGTACAGAATAAAACTAAATTCTATCACATCTAGTAGCAATTTTATTGGACAGTTTCATTATAATTTTCTAAGTCTGATACTGATTCTAAAACTTGACACTTTGACAATAGGATTATAGCTCAATTAGACTGGCACATAAATTACGACATGAATGTCCGACATTAATGTCGATAGTGTTAACATTTGTACGGTTTTTACACAGCGACGGACTCGACACTCACGTTCATATACAGACTTTGGCTTACACTATTATTAAGAAAAAATGGTTTAAATTTAACATTCTTTAATAGTGAGATAGTATTCTATGACATATATAATATTTGATACGTGATAGTACGACACAAACTTCATATTTCACAATCAAAAATTAATCGTTTACGCACATATAATCTAGATAATCTACATATATGTAAACGTACATAATGACTGCCGTTATGAAAATTACACATTAATTTATAATTAACAAACTAGTAGAATAAATTAATATTAGAAGAATTAAATAGTCTTAAATAATTAAACAGTTGTCACTTCTACGTATGGATCACTGTTCCATTCAATGACATTATAATTACTCCATACAAAATTACCTTTAATAGATAATGGAGCTTCTAATGCTAAATACAAAATAGCTTTAGCACCTTCTTCGTATACTTTAGCTGTCTTCCTTCCTTCTCGAGTCGAAATATTTCCAGGATTCACACAATTTATAACAATGCCTTTATCAAACCATTCCCTGTGTTGTAGAAATGTTACAGCGTTTAAGGAAACTTTGCTAACTGCTGTAACACTCATGCCCCAACCTTCAGTCTTCTCGATACCCTTCCTAGCAGCTTCCTCGTACTCCTGCATTATAGCTACAAGCTCATCTTCTGTGAGATATGGATCGCTGATTCTTCGTCTAATATCTTCGTTTTCTATTGTAGCCAGTAAACCAGCCGGTCCTGATACATTCACTACTCTTGCGTTTTCACTAAGTATTGGATAAACTAATTTACCAAAATTGATATATCCGTAGAAATTCACACTTAATGTCCTTCTCACTTTTTCTGCGTGCGTTATTTTTTTATCCGTTGCTACGTATTCCGTATTGTTGATTAATAAATCAATTCTTTCATCCAGATCTTGTATATGATGTCTCAATTTTATAATACTCTTCGTATAAGTTATATCCATTTGTATGAATTCAACATCAGCGTTTCCTTCCAACGTCTCTTGTATATTGTATCCGGTAGCAGCATCTTCTGTTGTGAAGTAAATCTTTCCTTTATACACTGTTGTAAGTTTTTTTAGTACATGAAAACCTATATTGCTTGCTGCTCCCACTACTAAGGCAACGTTAGTCATAGTGTCTAGAATAATACTAGTATTAATACGGCTTTATCGCTGTTATCAGGGGCCATCGCATCCCGAGCTGTGTTATCAGAAAACTGACAGCGTATACCGAGATAAGTTTTCGTGTAAGATATTATAGTGAAAATATCGAGTGCTGGTCACCTTGACATGAATTTTTATGGTGTGGAATTTTCATGTTTTGTGTAATACACATCAAAGACATCACTTTGTCAATCCGAATGTCATTTATCGAATTGTCTACTAAGACTGCTGTATTGGGGACTGATTATATTCCCTTTATTATGATTTTGTTTCTTTAGAATCATTAGTTATTCTATGTCTTCTGTTTCTGTAGGTGTCAGTTTTACATTTGATTATTTTGGTTATTAAATTAACTCGTGGATATGAAGTGAACAACCTTGTTATATACAATTAAACAGTGCGTTGTCCTACAAAGTGATTCGAGATTAATTAGGAATGTTGTAATCAGTAGCAGTTCCTCTTTTACACCATCGACGTAATATCGATTAAATAAAATTCTTAACTGATAACAATATCTAAATAATTTGATTTTTTTGTACTCTTTATCTACAATATCAGAACATGTTTAAAATAAAATAATTAAAAATTAGTTATCATATTATATTTTATGTTATATTTATAATAGTACTTTTAATATGCATTTTTTATATATTATTTTAATATATATTTTTGTACATAATTTGAATCGTTAGCTATTCATTTGTTTTTAATTCGCGTCATTACTAACAGACGCGCTCAGTTCAGTCGTTTCGTAATAATGTTATTTTAGTTTCACTGCGACTGTTGATCGTTAAGGTAATCTGTTGAGTATAAGAATTTAAAAGTCAGTAAACTAAAAAGGTTTCTTTGAACTTAAAATATTAGCAGTAAATTATTAATTAATTGAAATAATTAAAAAAAACAAGTAAAAGCTTCATTCATTAATTTTCGTTGACTGTTTATGTCAGTAATTAAGTCAATGTTTTACTTAGAAAACAACATAACATTTTATAGTAACTTTGAAACAATGGAGGTTCAATCAAACAGGGCTTTGCGTGTAGGCTATCGCACCGGAAGTGCGGTTCCGGCATGTTTTTCCGCTTCCCAGTTGTTAGCCGGAGCTTTATTAAGTCAAACTATGTATTTTATGTTTAATAGATGTTGTAAAGGGATATTTTATAAATAGGCATTTATACCGTCTCATGAGTATAGAAATAATATTATTTATTCTAAAAAAATATAGGAAATTATCTTAACTATGTATAGTTCCATACTTTTTACCTATTTTTAACACTGTTTCGTCTTCTTTTTTGATAATAGTGACAATGCATATGTGAT